AAATTACCTAATAAACAAGAACCTAATATTTTTTTTTGCTTATTTAGTAAATAACACACATATATACTGAAATCATATATTCATACATACAAACACAAAACATGTGCACACACACACACACACACACACACAAAAGGATAACTGTAGGCTTCATAGTGAATACCTTGATGGTGCCATGTACTTGATACCTGAAGCTGCAGGCAACAGTAAATTATAATACCAATATAAATGTAATAAAAGAAAGATTATGGGAGGTTGAGGCTAACTTCTGCCTCTCAAACTTTGGTTTTATTCAGGTACAGCTCAACTACAGCTTTATATTAGGTTGTATGAGATCATGCAACACAACATTTTTTTTATCATGTAACGATTGTCCAATCCACTCCAGTAATCAGAGACTAGTTAACATCCAATCTAATCAATCAGAATCATACACAAAAATATGGTGGGTAAAACCAAGAACATAACTTAAACCTAAGTATGGCAGTGATAATTGACTAAAAGATTGGTAGAATGAACACTAGGCAGCATCAAACAACCTTCAACACAATATTCATGCAATTCTTGGCTATTTTTAATTACGATAACCAAGTCCAAAGTAAAGCTGTAGATAGTGCAGAATGCCCATCGTCATTAACATTTGAAAATGTTGACTATTACAAACCTAATCTGTATTTAACTCAACAAACAAGAAAATTATTAACAAAACTGTATTATCCAATGTCATTTTTTTCAACTACAATGTGCATTAATAACTGTTTATTGCATATCAGCATGCAGCTGAGAAAATGTGAAACAATATCAAATTACTGTGGTTTATGTTCCAGTCACGTGGGCATTTGCAAATACAGCCCAAATTAGATTGAAAGGGGTGAGGAAAAATACAAATAGTACTGTTGATCAAAATGCACATTGTTGCCAGTCACAATGTCTATATTGTACCTGCACTAGAATATGTTAACATGACCAGAGTAATCCAAAAGTTTTGTCACTCATTTCATTTTCAAACATGGAACAACAAAGAAAAATTATAAATATCAGGTAATCATAGAAATCTTTCATGATGAATTATTAATACAGAAATGAAAGAAAATACATTCAACATATCACTGGTACATTTGTAAGACATTACTTGTCAAACAGTGGCAACTTTAGAAAAAGACAATATATAGACTTAACACACTGGGAGAGATGAACAGTTACAGGAGAAGAATACAAGAAAGAAAAAGCAGAAGATATGTAAGGCAACAATAGGAGTTGAGAGGAAGCAGAAATATAAATAAGACAGGATGAAAAAAGGCTAAACAAAACATTAAAAATAAAAAGGATTGACAGCAAGAGGATGGGACTTGATTCACAAAAAGATGAAGAGAAATGATAAGTACCTGTATTAAGGGTAGAAGAAGGCAATGTGGAATAAGTGTATGAAGTCAATGGAAAAGCATGAATACATAAGTACAGTATTATAAAGGAGCATTGTAACATGAATAAAGAAGATAAAAGATCTAGGGCAGGTTATTTCCTCCATATTTCATGACTGAACTGGCACTGCTGTCAACTTCACCATGAGGAACAAAAACTGACTTTCAGATAGTATGGTACAATTAAGTGATCGGACTTGTATCACAAAATGGTAATCACCGGTGTAAATAAAGGTTCTATAATTTTCTAAATCAACTTTCCACAGTAAAGAACAACAAAAATGTACAATACAGAGGGAACAAAAAAAATCTAGAATATTTAATAATTCACATTGTAGATTTGCCAACAGCCAGACAAAAAGAATTTAACATAAGTTTCAAGATTATATAAATAAAGAAGTATCAGACAATCAAATGAGAGAAGCCTTAATGAGTACTGACCAGAAGTATTAAATGGACTTTTAATTGTCTATAAGATGAAATACAGAGGCTAATGAAGATGGGTGATTTTAAATACATTATTTTCTCTATGACTGCAACCCCCTGCATTCATTCTAACCTCTTACGCAAGCATGGGCAAATACCAACTTTAGCCCCTGAGGCAATAAGGAGTGGTTAACTTATCAAAGAGACAAGAAAAACCTACCAATGATATTTGGCTAATCTATTTATGTCAATATGATTTATAGGGATATTTCAAGAACTGTTGGAATGAAACAATCAGATTAAAATTTAAAAAAAAAATAAGACGAGTCACATATACTTGTCTTTAAAAAAAATCTGGTTTTAATATCAATACAGTAAGCTTAAAAGGCAGAACTCAAGAATTTCTCCAACGATGTGTATTGTATTGTACAGAAGAGTTAAAGGAAACTGGCAGTGTAATGACATAATAAGACATGAGCTTAAAGAAAGCAAAGAACAAGCTAAATAAAAGCAATGGAATATATATATATATATATACTGTATATATATATATATATATATATATATATATATATATATATATATATATATATATATATATATATATATATATATACAGGTTGTGCTCTCTAGTCCGCAACTCGACCTGACCGTGCCGACCATGGAAATTCATTTCCAGGATAGATAGTGATTTGCTTATGCTTTGGAAGCACTAGCACCACTTTCTCATGGATATCTCTCTTTGAAGGCATATTGAAGGTTAAATGTCGTATAGTAGCTTCTCAAATTTCATGAGTTTTAATTCAATGAATTTTATTGGAACACAAAAAATAAAAAAAAATTTTGACGGCGGAAACTTGAATTTCGACGGGTTTGAACGGCCCGCCAACGTGCAGACGACGTGCATAATCGTGTAAACAGCGTCATTTCTCTTATGTACAAAAGATTCATTATTATTTATTACTGAATGTCTTTTTATTGAATTAATGTTTGTGTGCAAAATGAGCAATACAATTCATTAATAATACGTAGAATATTAAAACACACGAGGAAATGACACAGCATTGTTTTCGTTGATTACAAAACCAGTGGCTGACTGGTTCTACATATAAAACTGAAGAAAATAAGACCTTGGTTGTAGCTATAGCAAAATTAATATGGTTGTTTTAAGTAATGTTGTTTAATGTTAATAAATGGAACAATAGAAGTAGCTAACGATAATGGTAAAGAAAAAAAGAGAGATCGCGTATGTAAGTGCGCACACGTGAAAACATATCGTCATTACTTTACATAAGAATATGAAAGCAACACTTATTTACTGTTCATATATATTTTAATTAATGTTTCTGAATTTGTTTTTATTGAATTAATGTTTGTGTGTGCAAAATTAACAATACAATTTATTAATAATACGTGGAATATAATACACACGAGGAGACAAGACGGCTGCCGGCATTGTTTATGTTAAAGCTTACAAAACCAGTGACTGATTGGTTCTACATATTAATGTAAAATTAATGTAAAAAAAATTAATATGGTTGTTTGAAGTACCTGTAATGTTATTTAATGTTAATAAATGGAACAATATAAGTAGCTAACCATTAATGGTAAAAAAAAAGTGAGACTGCCCGTATGTAAGTGCGCACATGTGAAAACATATCGTCATTACTCTACATAAGAATATGAAAGCAACGCTTATTTACTGCTCATATATATTGAAGGGTTAAATGTTGTACTCTGTATAGACAAGCAGAGAGAGAGAGAGAGCAGCCAAACTGCCGGATGTAAACAAACCTTAATTTCCTGCGGCTTTGATGTTGGGTTTTTTTACGGGGATTAGCCCACCCGGGCATAGGTCACCGACCCACATTGGGGCCTGAGGGGCAAAAATTTAATACTCCTGTAATAATAATAATAATTCAGATAAGTAAAAAAAAAAAAGAAGCTGCCTATCTACCTATTGGACAAACTAAAATCGTTCCGGACCATGGGAGTTTCCGGACCACAGAATGCCGGACTAGAGAGGTACAACCTGTATGTATGTATATATATATATATATATGTATATATATATATATATATATATATATATATATATATATATATATGTATATATATATATATATATATATATATATATATATATATATATGTATATATATATATATATATATATATATATATGTATATATATATATGTATATATATATATATGTATATATATGTATATATATATATTACATGTATTTCACATCTTCAGAGTGCAACTGAAGATGTCTTGAATAAAGACTTAAAGCCAAGGCACTGCTGTTTCCATTTTCCGTGTGACGCATTTCAAGATATATATATATATATATATATATATATATATATATATATATATATATATATATATATATATATATATATATATATATATATATATATATATATATATATATATATATATATATATATATATATATATATATATATATATAATTTTAATACTGTATATAATGAGAATGGATAAATCATCAGGTAATGAAGTATATATAATAAGCAGAAGTATCACATTAATGTCTGGGTAAAGTAGTTTGCTGAGAACCAATTAAGATGTACCACTGAGAAGTGTAAACAAGATAGTGACTGAAATGTACTTTTTGGAAGCTGTATAAATCTGCAAAAACAGTTATGTAACTAATATGATCTGAAGAAAACAAAGTATTACAAGTACATGGTGAATTGGAGGAGTTATAGGTTCTTACTAAAGGTAACAGTCTGATTGTTCCCAAGAGTGAAGGTGATGCAGTGTAGACAGAGAAATTGTGCTTCATACTTTGCTTGAACGTGTCATATGGGCATTGTAGTTATCACATGAAAGGGCTTCTCTAACTACAATACAAAGTTAAGAGAATTTTTTTGAAACAGAGATCCAATAGGAATATATAAAATTCAACAATTTGCACAGTTCTTGAGACGCAGCTTCTGCAGCGTCACTACAGTGAGTATTACTGGTTATGGCTGCGGCGCCTAGCGAGCCTTACTCATCTCTCCACACTTGAAAGACTCATCACTGAATGTTATTTCATTATACACTTACACTATTATGGGGCTGACATTTATTTAATGTTTGCAAAGGTAGCTGCTTGCATTTCTATGATTCAGTTCCCATTAACACACACTTTCCAATTCTCTACTACGTCGGCGACGTGCCTGTCTTCTTCTATATTCATTGAACTCCTGTATCATGGCAGCAACACGTGCCTCCCTTAACTCGTGGCGCCGCCGCCCACCTGACCCGTAGATCTCAGAGTCGCTGAGGCCACGCTCGCCTGATGGAACACGGGTTCTTGACCACTCTACAGCTGCATCCTCCCCAGGTGTGGGACTCAGCACTGTGTCAAACTCATAGTGGTCATCCACACTTATATCCAGTGGCTGCTGCGTAGACACAGGTATGGTGATGGGTGGAGGTCGTGGAGACCCCTTAACTGAATTACCAGAGTCCACACTTGCATCCAACCCAGCTGATCCAAGCCGCTGCCGTCTTCCTACCATACCTGCCTTTACACTTGAATGACGTGGTCCTGTGAGAGTTGGCATACGAAACTGAAGCAGCACCTGGCGTGCTGCCCACTCCTCATAAGGAGGGGGGTTTGGTGGACGCTGCCAAGGTGTTGGGCGACCACGAGGCGCTGCTAAGGGCCAGGCAGGTGGAGCTGGTGGCGACATATCTGGGGCTTCTGTAGTTTCTGTGGCCTCTGAGGCTTCCAAACGTGATGAATCAAGACCCAACGCTGACAGTGATTGACCCGACTGTGATGAACTTTGCTGTTGCGATGTATTTTTACTACCAAACCCACTAGAAGAATCAGGAGATTGCTCTTGAGATTGTTCGTGTGACTGCTCACGACTTTCTGGAGCACTAATACCACCAGTGTGCCTTGTGGAGTGGTGGCTAGAGGTATGTCTAGTTTCTGATCGGCCTGCAGAGCTTAGTTCTGGGGCACTACTGGTTAATGGCACCTCTCCAAAACGGCCACTACGTACCCGCCCAATGGCCTCCTGCAAATGTTCACGAGTATATGGAACACGTTGATCACTACTTGAATCACTATCTCGTGTCCTACCCACTGCTCTGGGCAAGGGGTCAGGTACTCTGGTCTTTGTACTGGTAGGGGGTGGGGGAGGCAGCGGTCGAGGCCTGGGCAACCCCTGGGCCCTTTGCTGGTCCTGAATAGCACGTGGGCGGGGGGGCGAGCTTGTGGCCAGCGGCTTTTGATTCTCCGAGGAAGAAGGTTTGAGCAAATAGGGGGGGTCCCGCCCCGGTATTCGTTGATAAGCGTCGCGTCTCGGAGGAAGGTTAACATAATGGCGTGGGATGTCTGGTATGCGTGGAGGCTGGATATGACCTAGTGCCTCCCGCACCACAAGGCCTTCCCGTACCAGTGGTGGTGAATGTACATGCTGGCCAGACTCCAACACTGTCAGCTCTGGTCGACCAGTTTGATGTGTAGGATGGCTCACTGGGCGGGTTGTGGGCCACACACGTGTGGGGCGGTGAGGAGTAGTCCAGGCTGAGTCCAATGGAGGATGTGGTGGTGCTGCCCAGGTCTGTAATTGTGGGTGAAAGCGTGATGGAGGAGAATGAACCTGTGCTCCTACTAAAAGGCGACCTGGGTGTAGCTGAGAGGTGGACAATGGTGGCAACTGACGGGCATAGCGCTGATGAAGTACTCGTAGAGCATCTCTATGTGGTGGTGTCAAAGTAAATGAAGTACCATGAGCAGATGGTGTTCCCTGTGCTGAATTAGGAAAGGATGAAAGTACGGTGGAGGGAAATGAACGCTCTACACTGGATGGTTGCTGTACACTGCTCACCTCACTGAATGATGCTAGCTGTGCCAGTTGACTCCATTCTGAGCTTAATGGCCCTGGGGAAGATGCTCTGAAACGTCTAGAACGAGGAGACCACACAATATCACCAGGGCTTTCTGGTATAATATGCCGACCAAACTCTGGAGACACAGGTGATATCTGTGAATCAGGTGCATCCCATCTTCCACTGGATTTATCAGTACGAGTGCCTCCAGCACGTGGCTCTTCATGTGTGCTGGCACCAGAGCCATCAGAGCGTAAACTAAGACGAGGAGGAAGGGGCTGACGGTGGTGGAGACGGCTAGCTGTGCCAGCACGTACATGATAAACACCACTTTCTACCCCCACTTCATCTTTACCCCATCTGGAAGAAACTTGCCCTTGAGCTCCACCAGTTGATGTTCTCCCAACACCCCGAGTAGGTCGTCTAGGTGAAGTAAAACCACCTTCTTCACTATCCTTGTCCAGTACAAAACGACCATCAGTAGTACGTGATATCCAACTAAGGGGTTGTGAGTATTCCAGCTCAACGGAATAGCGAACATCTCGAGGGAACTCTCGTCCACGCTGCACACCATACTCTCGATAATCATCATCTGCAGAGCCTCCGGCTGTGTCTTGCCCCCCACTGCTAATATCCTGAGTTGCTGCACTAGTGTCTAAGGGCCTGCTGTCTGTGGAATCTAGAAGTCGGCCTCCAAGTAGTACGCCTGCCACCCATGCCCACTCCCACCTTAAACCTGGTATTCCGCACCGTAGTAACCTGTATGTATGGACAAACATAAAAATTACAATTTATAAACAATGTTTGACTGGTTTGAAACTTCTTGCGAAAAAAAGAGAAAAAGTTAAAGCCCTCGTACATCAAACAGTCAAACTGTGTGTTCCATTTCTGTTTACAGTATTCTATATAACAATTAACATACTTTTAGGCAAGATGTTTGAAATAAACATCCACTCTATACTGTATTGTGAAGTTGTGGTATCATAAATCATAAAAATGCTATACGTACATGAAAAATGAAAACTGTACCTCTTGTCAAAAGTACATTCAATAAGAACCAGTGCCTACCTTCTATTAACAATATGCACAAAACTACCTACAGAGTATCAGTCATAGCCCAGCATCCCTGAGTGACTACATGTTTGCACATAAATTATTTGTCTTTCATATAATTTGTGAAAAGGAATTTTTGGGGGTAGAAACATATATTTTAAAGATATGGGACTACATCTCCCTATTTTCTATAAGCAGTCAAGTTTGAATAACATAAACCTGATATAATAAATTCTGTTTTTAAAGAGCATTAACCTCACAAAACTGAAATGTAAGGTTAGGTAGAGCCAATTAATTTTACAATTCTTCAATTAATTCACTCCATTAATGACCCTTTAAAGATCTAGACTATGGAACAGTCTGTGCTGACATCATAACATGTGTATAAGTGACTGTGGTAGGCAGAGCTCTCCCACAGTGTTGATGCAACCTTAATAATCTTGTTTAGATCTTATCGTGAGCTTCCTAACAGTGCCATTCTGGTACAGTACAGCTCATGCGTAAGACTACCAAAGCCAGTATATTTGGCCCAGGTAACCCCAACTATGGCAGTCAGAATTAATCTGAAGATTAACCTACTCCTCTTCAGCAACTATTAGTCTCAAAAAAGATTTACTGTATTAGGAGCCAAGTTTCCCTGAAGGATGGAAGTAAGACACACCGTGTGCTGAATATCTTACCGGGCAACCAGTACCTGAACTGTCCAAGTCACAGAGGGTCACAAAATAGTCTTGCTGAAATATGAATATAAACATCCAATTATGTCAATCAGACCTGAAATATTTTAATACTGTACTGAAATTTAGCCAAACAGAGGCAATGTCTTTTATCTCCTGTGTAAAACTAGCCTACATAACAAATGAGTAAAGGCTTAACTTTCATACATTTAACAAATTACATAAGTGGTTTTAGAATGCAGTATAAATCAGAACTGTATTCAAGTACAGTATTTGTTAAGCTGCAGCACTTTCTTCTTAATTTTAAGATATGCCAATTAGATTAGTAAAGCAGTAAGCTAAAGATTGTAAAAGGTTACTGTAGTAAGTCATATCTGATCAAATAGAAGCATCAATGATAGTATAGTACAGGTAATTCTAAATGGTGCCTGGCTAAATACATGCTGTGGCAATGCAAAAGGGTGTGATACTACTTGACTGCAATTGCATTTTGAATAATATTTCACCAGTTAAATTACTAAATCTTCCTAATCAGACCAGTGTGTTATCAAAACTTTTAACAAGCTATTACACAATTAACAAGAATCTGATAACTTTGTGACACTGCCCATATCTGCTCTGTTTCATCATTAACAACAGTAAAAATAATGAATAATGGGGGAGGATTAACATTGAAGTTTCTCTGTGATGTCATTTTCCATCATTTGAGAGGCAATTAACATAATCAGACAAAATACTGATATCAGAATAACACTGTTGGCAATCTTTCCAGTGTGCTGAACTGTCAGCCAAGCCAGCAGTCCTGCCTAACAGTGCCAGTTGTAACATGAAATATGATGTCATTGTTAAGTAAACACAGAAGGCCACACAGCTGTAGTGCAAGACAAAAGTGTTGATCACCTTTATATCCTTGCTTGATTTGTCATTGTTACTGTGCTTTACATTCTAAATATAATAACTATTTGACAAAATCTTTAATATAATCTACAATAGTATACTACAGTACAAGGAAATCATAATGTAAGAGAAGAAACATGGAAAATATAATGTAACAGAAGGAACATGCAAAATATATATTCATCATAAATTTACTGGATATTCTGAAGTTAAAAGAAATAGTACAAGTACTGTACAGTATATGAATTCATTAGTAAACATTGAAAAAGCAATACTGTAGTATAAAAAGGTTAATAGTAAATATTGTTTTTTAGCATTTACTTTTCCAAGTACAGTACTGTACTGTACAAACAACAAAATTAAGGCTGTATACTGTACGAACTTTTGAATACTGTACATGCAACAGAAAATTAAACAAAACCATGCAAAGTGTACCACACACAGGTGAGAGTAAATTGTGGGGAGGTGTCTTAAGAAATGGGAAGATAATGCACATAATGAGGGAAAAAAAAATTATATATATATATATATATATATATATATATATATATATATATATACATACAGTCAACCCTCACTTTACGCGGTCCCACATTCCGCGTTTCCACGTTTACGCGGTGCCCTGCCAGAACCCAGGATGCTCACATTCGCGGTGGGTGTACCCCTTTACACGGTGAAGTATAATTTTTTTTATTTAGCTCATAAAATTCATACAAATTATCCGGCCAGAATATAATTTACATTGCTGGAATTCTTACAATTTGATGATCATTTTGAATATAAACATCATAGATTTTGCATTAGACATACAAATTTTAGATATAATGTTTACTCTGAGTAAATATGTTATCTTTTGTGCAAAATATATGACATTTATATTCAAAATATTCCTGGTCTTACAAGGAATCCAGCAATGTCAATTATATTATCCTAACTTTAGTGTGAGGTATTATTTATTACTAAAAAGGTAAATAGTCTGGTTTTCCCACACATTTATCTGGTAGGGAGGGACCGACTGACCATCTGGCACGGTGTGAAGAATATTTTTTTTTTATTAACTGAAGATATTTGTTTTAGCTCATAAAATTCATACAAATTACCCGGCCAGAATATAATTTACATTGCTGGAATTCTTACAATTTGATGATCATTTTGAATATAAACATCATAGATTTTGCATTAGACATACAAATTTTAAATATAATGTTTACTCTGAGTAAATATGTTATCTTTTGTGCAAAATATATGACATTTATATTCAAAATATTCCTGGTCTTACAAGGAATCCAGCAATGTCAATTATATTATCCTAACTTCAGTGTGAGGTATTATTTATTACTATGTACCTTAAAATCTAGTGGTTTTCCCCAAAAAATTTCTCAGAGACGGAAGAGCCAGCGAGTGTAGTGTGAGAAGAGGGGGAGGGAGTTGAGTCCATTATTTGAATAGACATTAACTTGGCGACTGTATTTCTCTATTTCTCTTAAGTATTAATTGTGTGCATGTACCATCATAAAATTAAGATGTTATTTTTACTAGAACATAGGTATTGTGTTGGAAAAAGTGGAGTTTGGGGGTCAGCTGGTCTCTATTTCATTTAATCCCATATGTTATGTTATTCACTTTATGCGTTTCTCACTTTCCGCGGTACCCTGTGGGTTACATTAACCGCGTAAAGTGAGGGTTGACTGTATATATATATATATATATATATATATATATATATATATATATATATATATATATATATATATATATATATATATATATATACATACACCTAGACCCCGACTTACGACTACGTGGACTTACGACCGCCTCAGATATAGATAAAAAAAAAAATTTTTTTTTTTTTTAAATGACACGCATTTTCTATACCGAAACGTTTCCAGTTAATGTAGTCTCCATGTATAATTAGAAAATTATGGGGGCCCCATGTGCATTCAGCTGACTACATTAAAGGTTAAGTGCTCAGTCACACTGTATCCATTCCTTATTATTTATTACTTTCACTGTACTGTATCCATTCATCATTATTCATTACTTTTACTGTACTGTATTTCATGTCGGACTTATGTCGGACTTGCGACCTGGATTTGGGTCCCTAACCCCGTCGTAAGTCGGGGTCTAGTGTGTATATATATATATATATATATATATATATATATATATATATATATATATATATATATATATATATATATATATATATATATATATATATATATATAAAACATTTGTAGTAACATACTGAATCAAGTCATTACTCATGCCTTAGTCAGATGATGATCTAGGTTAGAGAGTCTGTTATATAACTACAGTAATAAAATTTTGCTATACAGGGGGTCCCCGACTTATGAACGTCCAACTTATGAATGCCTGCCAATACGAACAGAGTTAAACTTGAAATTTACAGTACCCCCTGTATTTCATTTACATAATGACTTATTATTTTACATTCATTTACTGTATTTTATCATGCTATTTCTGATTTTGTCTTAAATTACAAGATTTTAGATGTATATAAGGACTTAGGATACGATATAGTGGGCATTTAAAACATTATTCTGTAAGTACTGTATGCACATAGCATGTGTTCTGACTTATGTACAAATCCAACTTACGAACGTCCTCAGGAACAGAACCCGTTCGTACCCCCGGGGACTCCCTGTATATCCATAAAATATGTTGATATTGCACCTACAGTACAAGACCCTGTACAGTACTGCATAAAATATAAAAAGTTGTCTTATTATTGTTTCAAGGAAATACAGAAATGCAGTAATAAATGTCCTTACCTACCAGGAAAAACTTGGGAACAGAGCCCTTAGTGAATGTATTAGACCCACCAGACTGTCAATTTCAGAACTGACTGTTGTCCAGCAAGTAAATGAAGATCTGGATACACAAGCCTTATGCCTTTATCCAAGATATTCATAAATATTAAAAAGAAGATAAAAAATATAAGAAATCATAGAGAAACATAACAGCAAGGAGAAATATTGAAGAAACATAGAGAACATGGTAATTCAAGAAGGTACAAGGGGGAGCACACACTAGAACATATGGATAAATAAATGTTGGCTAGAGCTTGGATCTTGCACAGCATACATCGGAAGCCTTCCAACCACT